TTGTCTGTGTCCGTGGGTTATGCACATGAGCATACACGTTCTTTGATTCGTCTCTCCCCACCCACTCCCCCACCCCGTCTTCCCTCTGAGATCCCTCAGTCTGTTCCATGTTCAACATTTTTAAAACTCAGACCCATATTCTCTTACCAAATTACACTGAAATCTTTTACTTTCCTTTGAAATCTTATAGAATACATGTTCTCTACTGTTTATTTGCCCTTAAACAGATATTGTTTTATAATAGTTACAATGGTTAGTTTAGATAGCATTGAGTGAACTTTGTTTAATCACGATGGTCATCTACCATAGAGTTACTAGTGTTCTCTCTGTTTTACAAATGAGAAGGTTAAGATTTGAAGAGTTTGAGCCCCTTTCTATGGGTAGAGGCATAGGATATTTATGAGGGTAAAATAAATTAATACTTGTCAGCATTTAAAGCAATACCAGGAACCCAGCAAAAACCCAGCAAGTATTGTCTCTTATTTTTATTATGTTTCATTCTTAAAATTATCCCTGCCTTAAAGAAAAAGCCCTAACGTACCAATTACACTGTTTTGATTGTATCTAGTCCAGGTTACTAAATTGGGGAGAAATTAGGGCAACATCAGCAACAATTCATTTTTAGGATGTTCCAGGTGACGAAGTTTCCGTTGATATGGATTTAACCAAATGTGCTTCTTGTTTCTAATGATCGTGTAGAGAGAGGTCTGCCTGCCTGGACGTCTGTCTGATGTAAGTTCTTAGAAGGAAGCTCTTCTGTGTGCTGCCCAGTGTAAAAGGCAGGGTGTGTTGGGGGCAGGGGTTTAGCAATGTAACAGCAGCTCTGTTTCTTTAAGATTGCTCAGTGATTCATTATTGTAATGACAGTAATTATATTTATAGCTACCATGCTTAAAGCTTATTTAGAACTATACTGAGTAGAATAAAATAATGTAGAATGGAAGAAAACTAAGTGTTTCACACAATGGAACTTTCCACAATACTTAAGTTATCAGTAAGGAATTTTACTGTAAGAGGAGCCTTAAAATATTGCTATTCTTTTTAATTATAACCAAACAATATTGCTTAAACTTTCCCTGTGTCTCAGAGTCTGCATGGTTCCAAAGCACAGATTCGTCGTTCACATACACCCTTCTTGAAGCAATCTAAATACATAAACCCCACTTTTCCTGATTGTCATAGAGTTAAACAAGCTAGGAAACAAATTACCAGTAAGACAATAACAGTAAAACATTCCATTGAGAATGAAAAGACAGGCCACAGATGGGAAGAAGATATTTGCAATGCATATCCCAACCAACAAAGAACTTATGTCCGGACTGTCATGTAGAAAAACAATAGAAAAATCAGGGAAAACTCTTGACTGGGCACTTCACGAAATGGGATGGTCATCTGACCAGTAATGAGCATAACAATATTAATCATTGGGGAAATGTAAAAGTAAAACACAACAAGAACCCCGGCCAGTGTTGCTCAGTGGCTGAGTGTCAGCCCACGATCCAGGAGGTCATGGTTTGATTCCCAGTCAGAGCACATGCCGGGGTTAGGGGCCGGATCCCCAGTAGCGGGCGTGCAGGAGGCAGCTGATCAAGGATGTTTCTGTCTCTCTCTCCCTCTCTCTTCTCTCTGAGATCAATAAAAATAGTATAAAAAACCACAATGAGAAAAAGGAAAAAAGTAATGATATCTCTGCATATCTGCTAATGTCTAAAATTATGATGACATCAAATTCTTTCAAAGATGCAGAACAGCTGGAACTTTATATGTGGCTGCTATGTGAAAAAAATAATGCAATCATTTTAGAAAGCTTTTGGCGAAGTCTACGAAAGTGTATCCATGCTTATCTGATTACCTGGCACTTCCATCCTAAGGTAAATATTCAAGAGAAAGCCATGCCTAAGCCGCTGCAGGCATGTTCATAACAGGCTTACCGTATTAGCCTAAAACTGGAAGCAGCCCACCTGTCGTGGGGATTAAGTGGATAGATTATGGCTTAGTCATCAACGAAATACAGCCTGAAATATGAAAAGCAGGGAGATGGAAAGGGGTGTCTGTCTCAATCCATTTTTTTCCTATCAAATATTTGTTAGAATTCACAGTTTCAATCAGAGAGTGTGTATATGGAAGTAAGTCTCACAGAGAGAGGGAAAATGAATGGATTCCTTCAAGCACTGGGGATAAGAGATCACCCCGCAGTGTTATACTTGGGGCGCCCCCAGCACACGCCCCTGGATATGCGATGCACCCCGGAGGAGCTGCTCACACCGACAAACACCAGTTCCAGTGTTTGTAAAATAGACTTTCAGATATTTTCTAAACTGAAAGGTGAGGGGACAATGAAGAGAGGAATCTGTGTAGTTCACACTGAAAAGCATAGGTGAGAGCCGTCTATTATTTTTGTTTGAAAACTCATTTTCTCTGCAGCCTGACTCGCTGCCCGTTTCCTCCGCAGGTTTCTCCTATGTCATCTTACATGTAAAATCTGTGCCTTTTAAACAGCCAATCCGGTCGTTTTAACGACATGGCTTTGTCTGCTATTAGCTCCATTTCCCCATTTATCTTCCTGCGGTGTTTGTATAGAAGCATTTTAATAGTAGAGAGCGCATTTTTATACACGCGGCACTTGTTTCTCAAGCAGTTGCTGGGGAAAGCCGTGCAAGAGTTTCGGTACCGGCCCAGGAGAAGCAAAGCTAAGCCGCGAGCGCTTTCTCCCGACCAGGCGCCACCTTCCCCCTTCCCTTCCCCCTCCTTCCAGCCGCACCACGGGCGTGTTTATTGAGCACTTGCTACGTTCTGAACCGTATTTAACCAATCCCCCGCCCCGCAGCCCTTGAGCACCATTAAAACTGCCCACAGACTGCCCTGGCTACGCCCGCTGTGGAGTCACCTGTCATCACGTGGGTCTGGGTGGTGCCGCCCCAAGGACCGCACTTCATGTCTTTCTCCTACTTATGTTCCCATGTTCATTTTCTGGTTCTTGCTGCTAACTCTTAAATACTTACAACCCTCCCTAAAGCTCCACTGTTAGTGACACTTCTCTGCTCTGCTAAAGGCATGAGATACTGTTGAGGATGAAATATCTTTTCCACTGGGGACCCACATGCCTGCGCCCGCCGTGTCAGCTGGAATTTGTTTGAGCCTGTCGCAGGATCGTAGCAGGTCATTAGCGAAACCATCTTCCCCAGTCTTGGCTCCAGAGTCCTGGAGAACTAATTCCCCCAAAGCGGGGAATTTGGGCCTCGGGCTCCGTTGATACCTCCATTTCTTTCCACCCTCTCCACGCTCCTCCCCTGAGGTCACTACAGTTACTGTGTGTCTTAAGGAAGATAAAAAATCAGGCCCGCCCTTTTCTTTTGAGGGCTCATTGGAGAAGAAATTTCTGAGAAATGGTGTTGCGGTAAATTTTAGATGCCCATTGTTTATTCTGCTACTATCTGACTTGCAAAATAAAAAGTGGTCGGTCCCATATCCCCGTTTGGTTCAGAGAGATGTCCAATCTGGACTAGAGTCCACGAAATGAAGTTAAACATGTCGATCTTCTAACTTAGAATTGGCCCGCCCGGAAATAAAACAAAGTCAGGAAAAGTGGATCCCGACCTCTCTCCAGCCCAAGGCTTCGATGGGGACATGAGAGGCCATGAAGGGTGATTTTCTGATCTGGCCTAGGAGCAGGCCAAATTCACAACTCGAGGTTAGACTGAGAGGCCCCTTTACGTAAGCCGCCCCTGCCCTCTGGTTGTCCTCCCTCCCATGCCAACGATGCTCAGGGAAACACCAAAATGCTGTGGCCTGGCGGCGGGCCCCGGTTCCAGAGTCCCCGTTAGCGGCTGTGAGTTTGATTGTTCAACCCCGGGGAGCACAGATGTGGCCAGTCGGCAAGGATGTGGCTTCCTTTCTTCAGAAACAAGACCAAAAAGACAAAATTCCTTCCCCTTTTACATAAGGAATAATAAGTGGGAAGCTGTCCAGGGGGAGCCCTGCACTTGGGTACCTACCACGCCCCGAGGGGTACCTGTGCCCGCCCACTGAGCTGGGAAACTGGGCTCCACGGGAGTGAGGCGGGCCCGGGCCTCGCGGCCACAGGCGGGTCCCTCGCGTCCAGGCCCGGGGGCCCTGCGTTCAAGCCGCGCTGTCGCCGTCGCGGTGCGCACTGTCCGGGCGGGTGAGCATGCTTCCCCCGAGCCGGCGGCCTCTCTAACGCCCTCTCCCCCGCCTCCAGGAGATAGTCAACTTCAACTGCCGGAAGCTCGTGGCCACCATGCCCCTGTTCGCCAACGCCGACCCCAACTTCGTCACCGCCATGCTGAGCAAGCTGCGGTTCGAGGTGTTTCAGCCTGGAGATTACATCATCCGAGAAGGAGCGGTGGGCAAGAAAATGTACTTCATTCAGCACGGGGTTGCCGGCGTCATCACCAAGTCCAGCAAAGAGATGAAGCTCACCGACGGCTCCTACTTCGGAGGTGAGTGCGAAAGCAAGGCCAGCGGGCGGCAGGCAGTGAATGGCTCGCGGCCATGTGTCCTCTCGAGAGTTTTGGAGATTTCAGAATGTTGGCTTGTTGGTTTTCCATATAAATCCGTATTTGAATTGTGATAAAAAGTGTCCATAATGGCATGTTTTCGCATATCAGGCCTCGTCAAGCTCAATGTGGAAATGTCCCTCAACACCAAAAGACCTGGGGTGCGTTCCTCAGAAGAAGGCAGGAAGTCTGCCTTCGGTAGCCACAGGTTTGTCCTGCAGGAGGAATTCAAGGGAAAGTCTTTTTCTTCTCACCAGTGAGGGGCTCAGGAAGTGCTCCTTATGAAGTGCTCCTTACTATTTCAAACTCATCCTTCCCAGACCTTAGCCTTTTGCATCTCTTTGAAGGCTTCTCTATCACAATCCATGTATCCCAACTGTGTCTCCTTAGAACTTCTCATAGCTCCCCAGAGTCCTAGTCTCAGGGAACCTCCCACTGAATTGGTACCTGTCTTCCTTCAGCGATTAGACGGCAAGTGTGGCATCAGAGGAGCAGCTTGAAAGTCAAAGATGCCCAGGCCCCATCCATCAGAGATTCTGGTTCAGGAAGTCCAGGCTGAAGACACATTTTTGTTTGTTTATTAGAGAGTAATCGGCCAGTGTATCTTGTGTCACAAGGGAGGAGGGTGCGGGTGGACTAGATGAAAGAAGGTGAAGGGATTAGCCAAAGAACAGATATGCGTAGCCCATGGGCCCAGACAACAGTGAGGTGGTGGCTGGAGGGAAGGGGTGAGGGCCGGGTGGAGGTGGGCAAAGGGGGGGAAACTCAGGGATGTCTGTAATAGCGTCAACAATAAAAAAAATCAGTAGTAATAAAGGGAAAGTATTCAAATCAAATTAATCGGAGTTGAGAACCAGTTGATGTATTACATTTTGTGTTTTATAATAATAATAATTATAATAATAATCTGAGTTTAAGAAGTTTTCTTCAGTAACAGGTAAGAAATACTTATTAGAAAAGGTTTATAATTGTATTAAATGCTTTTGGGAAATTTATCGGAATAACCATAAGGCTCTTATACATTAATCTACTGCTGAGTAAAACATACAATTCAAATAAATAGCTTCTTTGACTTCCCGCTCACCCATTAAGGACAGTTTGAAGCTTCCGTCTTTTCCTGTCTTGCCTCTTTCCTCCCTTGTCACGGATCTGCGTTGCCTCATCAGCCCCTTGGCCCTTCTGTGGAGATTGTGCTAAGAGAAAAGAGCAGCTTAGGAGATGCTGAGAACCTAAAGGGTTCTGTGTGAGAGAGCGCGGAGAAGTCACGTTCGAATGAAGAAAAGAGAGAGCAGAGGAAAGCGGCAGAGTAAGAAATAAACGTATGATCTATGAGCCTTGTTTGGCAGAAGGTGGTTTGGAGGGAAAACATTTTTGAGGCAGTTAAAGGAGCTGTGGTATAAATATGAAAACGTTAGACATTAGCAAGCTGTACCTTCTCCTCAAAGCCATCCACAGCCCAGCTGGTGGGGCTCAGTGGTTGAGCATTGACCTGGGGACCAAGAGGTCACCTGTTTGATTCTCAGTCAGGGCACATGCCTGGGGTTGCGGCTCTATCCCCAGTGGGGGCCTGCAGGAGGCAGCTGACCGATGTTTCTCTCTCTCTCTCTCTCTCTCCCTTCCTCTCTCTTTAAAAATCAATAAAAACATACGAGCTGAGCTCAAAGTGGTATCCAGAAAAGGGACCGAGATGAAACTATAGACCACGATGAAACTATAAGTCATCCTAGTGATGGGCCGAGAGCTCTAACTTAGCTCGTGTGGGAAGGCAGTGAACAGTGAACCAGAACTGGAGTTAATGCGCTGGAGTCCTGATGGGCTTGAGAACTTGCTGAGGTCAGAGCAGTAGAATAAATTGAGCTGCAGATACAAGGAGTGGTGATGTGAAGGTGAGTCAGCTGTTGGTTGGTGACCCTGAAGTCGAGATCACCATTCAAATACTGGCTGCCTAGGAATTTAAAAATGAAAGATAGTAGTGAGCTAGTTAAAGAAGCTGAGAACAATGTGCTGGATGAACCGTTCCAGGCATCCCGAGGCCCAGTGGTCATAGGCCTTCAATGTTACGACAGGAATGGTCTGCGTTTCAACGGAGGCTACTTAAACTAAATCAAGTCGACACTTTTAAGATTATTTTTTCTTTGACATATTACTCACGCTCTTTTCCTTATTTTCTCTCCATCTCTAATTTTTCTTTGTGATTTATTTGCAACATTTATTTTTAAAAAGATGCACAGAAACCACAGGACTGAAAGATCCTTATTATGCTGAAAAAGTAGAGATCATTTTACAGTCACTTTTGTGTTCTCACCCTCAGCATATTCCCTGAGACATCGTTTTTATTGACTGAATCTAATTTTGGAGTCATCATTAACTGAATAGTATTTCATATCATTAAGTTAGTTATCAACCTTGTGACAAATGATCTCTATTTATATATTTTTTTCCATTTTCCAACATAAAATGTCTACTCTTTTTGTTTCTCCCATGAGGCCCTAACAAGTTTCTAAATGTGAACCGAACCATTAGACCTGGCGTTTTGGTAAAACCCAGCTTGTTGCTGAGAAGATTCCTTTTCGGTCCCTTTCTTGACTGCTCCTGTCTTTTCCTCTCCAGCCTCGCCCTGGGCTTCCAGAGCCTTGACGCCACGTCGCTAAAACCCGCCCCACTTAAGCCGGTGTAATGCAGGAGCTACCCTTAGGAAACTGCTCCCAGTCCCTGGATAAAGGTCGTGCAGAATATCATTCTGCCGTGAGGCTCTTTAAGGACCCTGTCATGCTTCACTGTGTTCGCGGGGTCTAGGAGAGTTCCGATGCGGGGAGGAGCGTGTACCTGGCTAAGCGCACAGCAGCCAAGTGAGCAAGTGCAGGGCCTGCGTGGAAAACGCTGGCCTTCGGATTTTTATTTCTAATGCCGTCTCCTTCTCTCACCTCTGCTGGTCTACACTGTCACCCCCGAGAGGTGCGGTCCAGCGAGACTGCCCTTCTGGGGGCACAGTAAGTGTCCTCTGGAGGCACTACGTATACACTTGGAAGCAATTAAAATGTTTTTGACCTTCTCAGCGTCACATTTGTATCTGGTAGAAGAGTTAACAGACATGCATATGAGACCCGGGGCTCTCTTAGCGCAGCTCCTGCATTTAAACCTCCTTAAGGTCTGATTTGAGAAATGCACCTGCTCACGCTGTTCGTGAGGGCAGCGTGCTCTGAACGGGTTCCTCGGGACGGCGGTGGTGCCCGCGGTTACTGCGCGGGCCTCACTGCGGGGGACAGATGGCTGCCTCCTCGCCCGCCGTGTCCTCATTTCAACTCTGTCTCCCGCCCGCTCCCTTTCCATGTGGCCTTCCGCTGGCGCTGACAACGGAGGCTTTTTATTCTGGGCCCGGGTTTTACTTCCTCTTAAGTTTAGACCTTCCCTTTGCCTCTGAGGGGCCACCGGGCTAAACCCCAACAGCGGTGCAGAGATCCCCCCCTTAAACTGTGCCCCGCGTGCAACTGGAAGGTGCCTGAGGAGCCGGAGCATATGGTGCTGCTTGGTGGTTCTCTGCTCATAAAGTTGCAAAGTAAACGATCAGATTCTATCTTTAGGAACAAAACTAGGGAACGATTAGGAAGCGGCATCCAGGGAGCCGGGTTCCTGTTCCGTCTCTGGCGATGGGACCCGACCGCTTGCCCCCTGGGCAGCTTGGTTACCGCCTGGGGCCTTTGGAGCATCGCCTGCAAAGTGATTATTAGGACAGAAACTCTGCAGCCTGCCAGCTCCATGACTTGCTGGAATGGGGCTCCTGGGGGCGCATCCTTTTAGCAGTTTGCCGCTTCTAATAGCTTCCTGAGCATCTAGAATGTCTTCCTGCCTATTCTAGAGGCCACGTTATTTTTAAAGGAAGGCTGTGTATTTTGTTTGCGATATTATAGTTAGGATGTTTTCTAGGACGAGACCCTAGGTTTTAAAAAAGAAATGGGGGCAGGTAATGTGTGTGATGATTCATGTTCTGGTGTATAAAAACGAACCTCAGCTCCGTTTTGGGAGGGCAGTGAACAGAATAGAAAGTGTCGGGCGGGCTGTGAAGTTCTTCGAAATGAGACAGGAGGAGTGTTCAAGGGCGCGGTCGTCAGAGTCGGATCCGAGGAGCTGCTGGGCCTTGAGAAAGTCACTGACCTCCAAGCCCGTTTCCACGTCTGTCAGATCAGGAGAGTAAGTCCCACCCCCTTGGGCTCGCTTAGAGGACTGGGCGGCTTGGGCATCCCTAGGAGCTTGGCATAGCCCTGGGACACGGCCTGTGCCGTGTCGTTGGGCAGTGACAGGCACGGGGCTGCGCAGCAGAGCCGCAGGACACGGGGACGTGGCCGAGGCATTGCTGGCGCAGCACTCAGGCCAGGTAGGTCAGCGCGGGGCACCCAGCTGTCCGTTTGTGCCGTCTCCTGAGTCACCGTTAGTCTGCGTCCACGGGCAANGACACAGGGGGACGCGGCCGAGGCATTGCTGGCGCAGCACTCAGGCCAGGTAGGTCAGCGCGGGGCACCCAGCTGTCCGTTTGTGCCGTCTCCTGAGTCACCGTTAGTCTGCGTCCACGGGCAATGAAGTTCACTCGAAATTAATGTGTGTGAGGGGTGAGGGTGGGGTGGGGTAAATAATCTGAAAGCTTTTGTACACTGAAGATCACCTCATCTCAGCACTCTCATTTCCTCACGCCACACACGTGAGCATGGCTGTGCAAACACACGCCCAAGAAATAATGCTGTAGGATCATCCAAATCCTCTAAACAGCTAGTGCTCCGTGTGCCAGACATTGTCCTAAATAAGTTCACGTATGTCATGTAACTCCATATTAGATTAAAATAGCTACAGGATATGTAATCTTTACCATTTTCAATATCAACTTCCCAAGTGCGTTAGAATCGAGATGGAAGAGCAAACGTGTTTTTAAGAACTAAATTATTCAGAAACAT